AAGGGTAAAAGTCAAACAATAGAGGGAGTTAATCTGACCAAAGTACTATAACAGGATGTTTGAAATGCAATGGTGAAACTGCTTTGAACAACTAATATACACAGATAATTAAGGAGAAATCCACAGAGGATTTTAATCTATAGGATGATAAAGTAAATAATTAAATTCACAGTAGCATCACTGAAAAGCATCTCATTTAAAAAACAAAACCACAAAGAATGAGGAAAACTTAGTAGAACCTCTTTAGATTTTAAAAAGCATAAATATAGAATGGATTAGCAGTCACTGAGGAGACAATAGGAGAAAGAGAAAAAGTATCTGTAATAGCAGCTTTCAGCACTTGGTGGAAATATATTCAGCATTTTACTGATTATGGTTCTTACACAATATAGTTGCACAGAAATAAATTCTAGATCTACGTATGAAGGGAGAAGAATAAAAATAAAGTAATAAATGATAAATGAACAATGCCAATGGAAGAACCTCACAGCATTCAACTCAGAAAGTAAGAAGTGGAACTTGATTAATATCTATCAACATCTAATCAATCAATTATCTATCTGTCTGTCTGTCTGTCTGTCTGTTTGTACTAGGTAGTATCAATGGTCTTATTCATTCTAGACAAATGTTTTACCACTGAGCTATATCACCACCACACAGTGAAAATTATTCTATACAAATATAATCTTAACCATTATTATAAATATAAAAATCATTTATTTTTATAAAGAAAATATTCCCAATGCATTAGTTTGAGATAGATATTTAGGAATAAGTAAAGATGAGCAGAGTGAAATATTTCCTGTAAGAAGTGAAAACTATAAACCATTGCAAGAAGACTTGTCCTTAGCCTAATGGTTCCCTAAGAGAAGAGAAAATATTAGTCTCATAAACATAGGTTACCTATTCCTCACAGATAAACTGGGAATGAATTGTAGTAAAGAGAGAAAGGAACAGAGAATATGTTATATACAAAGAAGGTTCTAGGTCTTGTAAAACAATAGAACATTAATTTCTGCCCTAACTCAATCTTAGGATAATACTAGGTATGTGTACCTGTGATCTCATAAATTTAAAATTTGGGAAATTAAGAAATTTTCAATTACATTGAAGAAATTAAGTTTTAGTCCAAAAAAGGGCTAATTTTTATCATTCTTATACAAATGACCAGGTAAAAACAGTGCAGCATTCCTATCCAGTGAAGCAAATGGACATAAACATCAGTAGAGAAGTGATAGGTGAGAGGAAAAGGCATTCAGGATGGAAGATGGGTCCACTTCAAAGGAGCCTTCTTATAAAAAGCAGTAGTTTGCATTTCCTTTGTTATTATTCATGTCATTCAGGGTATCCAGACAAAAGAAAAAAAATACTAATGGCCTCTTACTCTCTCTTGACTTTTTCCCTGAAGGCTGATATTCTATGACTAGAACCACACCTATGCTTATGAGGTTTTGCTGCTTAATTGGAGATGAGTCTCTCGAGTTTGACTGCCCGGCCTGGCTTTGAACCATTATCCTCAGATCTCAGCCTCTTGAGTAGTTAGGATTACTATCATGAGCCACCTACAGGTAGCTAGGAAATATTTTTCCCTTTTTTTTAAACTGTAAAGGTGCTGTAAAGAGGGGTGACAGTAGTTATTTAAATAAGGTAATGAGTTCATTTCTTTTTGAAGTGTTCCTCCACCCTTGTTTTCTCCTACTTTTGTATCATGTTCCACCACATTAAACTCCACGTATGATTCATTATGTTTATATATTTTTCCCAAAACTTCAATCCATGGAATGTGTTCTGAGAAGGATGCCAAAGGCATTTCTTCCAATGCTGTCACATTTTTTCCCAGAAAACATAATTCTCTTTCTCTCCTGACTTCCTCCACATTTTCCTCTCTGCATTATAAAATTCAAGAAAACAAAATGTCTTAGGGGAATCATCATGTGTGTGAGAATTTTCTAAATCCCTGAAGAAAGTTAGTAATGCAAATATTACATGTTTTTAATCAGTTAACTCCATTGGGGGCAGATTCCCACTTGAACTAATGTGAATATATAATTGAGCTTCTCAGGGAAACGTGCCCTCTGGCATGATTTTAATCATCTTGCTCTCACTTTTATACCAAGGATTCTGTACTTTTGATTCTTCCCTATGAAAGGATAAGTTTGAATTCCATCCCTGCTTCCTGGTACTACTATTAATCACCCAAGTAATGAATCATTTTAAAAGTAAGATACCTTTAATCGAATATTTTCAATGTTCTGTTTCTATTTTTGCTTGGGGTAAACAAAGAAAAAAATCAACTCTGGGCATGGCTACAGGTTTCCTAAATGAGATGAGATGTTAAATATCTTTGCTTCTATGATAGGTTAGATTCACCTATTTAGTCTTACATAGTCATATCTAACAAATCAATTATTTTGTAATGGAGAGGAAAATAGGTGCTGATAATAATGAACATTTCAAGTTACAGGGGAAGGACAAATGATAATTTAGTTCTCTGTTCACATCCCTTATCCTGCCTGTCCGTCCTTCTTTCTGTGTTAATACCAACTAGTTGTACACATTCTGCTCATTAATAAAATACTTTCCTTCTGAAAGTATGACTCACAATTCAAATTAATCTAAGTCAAAAACACAAGTATTTTTCAATTATTAGTATAGATCACCCAGATATAACATAGTTATCTTCTTTTTGTCTTTGTTTCTAATGTATTTTTTTTGAATTTTGCCCATTTGATAGGCAACAGAGTCTCAAAATGACAGAATAATGATGCAGCCAGTGAAAATGTTATTCCTTACTGTATTGTGTAGAGGTAAAGGTACCAGTATCCTAAGGCTTCAAATATTTATGTACATTTGCACTTGGCTCAGAGGGTCCAAGAGGTAATTTAAAGGACTCTGGCTCCTATGGAAAATTCTTTTCTGCACAAGTTGTCCTGAGAGGAAAATACTGATCAGGACTAGAGACTCCCTGTGCTACTATATGGTTGTAGAAAACCAGGGCCTGAACTCCAACACTTGTTTGTAATTCTGTTATTTTTGTTTCTAAAATAGATAAGATAAAATCACCACAACAAAAGTAACACAATGTTCTGTGTATTAGAAACCAAATTCAAGAAAGTTAAACTCCCTGCTTTAGAATCATGTAAAAGGGTACATGAAAAAAGCCAGAATACAGTTTAAGGAATATGTAAAGAAGCAGGTTAGAGATTCTGCTTTCTAGTCTGTCATTGGTGAGCAATAGTTTGTAATGTGATTTAGAATAAATAAATCAAATTTTCAAATGATTCAAAAACAGTGCTTCAAGGTAGTCCAGGTAAAAAATCTTGACCTTGACTATTAAAATTATATTTTAAAAATCTCATCTTAAAAAATCAGACTTATATTTTAAGTATACATGTATTTATATATGTATATATATATGTGAGAAAAACATATTACATTTTTCGTGCAAAATTTATACTAATCAGAAGATAGGTATGAAATTATTATGTATTGTTACATTTTTCATGCAGAATCAGATTAAAACATGGAATTAAATAAAGCTTGGAAAGAAATGCAAGTATCTTGGGTGGGTTTGCTTTGATTCATAGGTTTGCTTTTTCTCAGAGAAATGAAAGAATTTGTTTATTGAGTTTCAGTAAGCATTTCCATTGAATATCAAAGGACAGTTGTAAGTTGTTTTTCTTTTTTATTATCTTTAAGTAGCTGTAAAATCAAGTTTCAGTTTAACATGTCAATGTATAACTTCAATGCATCTTGATGAGTGTCATCTTAACATCATTCTCCACCTGGCCATCCCATCCCTATCCATCCCCTCAAGTTACTTGACTATACACCACTTGCTTTTGATCATGTTTCATGTCCCAGCACAGACAACTCTCATGTCATTACTGGTATTTCCTCAGAAGCCAGTATCACCTGTTGTTATTTAAGCCTGACTTCAGAAGTTTGGCATGGTAGGTCGCACACTTCTGTCACATTATTTTTTTTTCTTTTTTATAATTGAGGAAGTTTAAGAGTATAACTCAGTAGTGGTAAGCTTGCCGAGAACACACAGGGACTGGAAACAACCTAGTGCTAAGAAAAAAAAAAGTGGAGCAGAAACTAATTATAAAGGTATAGTTAAATACCTCAGATTAAGAATGTCAGGCTAAAATGGGTACTGGTAACTCATGCCTGTAATCCTCGCAACTCCAGAGGTTTGAGTTCTGAGGATGATGGTTCAAAATCAGACTGGGCATGAAAGTCTGTGAGACTCTTAAGCTCCAGAAAACCTAGACATGGAGCAGCGGCCCAAGTAGTAGAGTGCTGGCTTAGAGCACAATGATCAGGGACAGTGCCCAGGCTATGAGTTCAAGCCCCAGGACAGGTACCAAAGGGGGGAAAACAAGTATATACATGTATATATATATATATATGTATATGTGTATGTATTCATGTATTTGTATGTTTGTTTGTCTGTCCATTTATTCTGTGTGCCAGGCAGTAAGTAAAAAGAACCTTGTCCATGATAGGTATTCACTCTACATTTGAGGTGTACCCTCAGACCCTTTTATTTCTGTTTAATAGGAAGAAGTCTTGTGTGTTGATTTATTTCATATTACCTACCATTAAAACCAAAGCATAAAAACTACATTGGGAAAAGAGATTAAAGTTCTACTTCCAATTTGTATGTATGTATAAACCAGAGTTTTCTTAACATATCTTTACCATGGAATTCTCTTCAGGTTCTTGTTCATATTAAAGGTAGCAAAGACAAGCCTTCTATAGCTAGGACTCAGATTTTATATATATATTTTTTCCCAATATGGATTTTTTTAAACTAGAAGTGAGTAAACCATAGACATTCTAGTTAAATTTTCTAAAGCATATATGCACAACATCTAAAGATGAGAAGCTCTTGACTTCGAGTCAGAAGATATTAAAGACATTAACATAGCCATGGATTCTCCAAACGTATCCCAGTTTCGTTGTGGTTCGCAGGTACCAGGAAACCCAGTCCGATGGCTGGCGTCAATTTTACCCTTGTGACTGAATTCATCCTGCTGGGGCTGACCGATCGGGCTGAACTGAAGGCGTTCCTCTTTGTCTTGTTCCTGCTCATCTATGCGATCTCCTTGGTGGGCAATCTGGGCATGCTGCTTCTCATCCAGGTCACTCCCAAACTCCACATGCCCATGTACTATTTCCTGAGCTGTCTGTCCTTGGTGGACGCCTGCTATTCGTCCGTGTTCGCACCGAAAATGCTCCTGAACTTCTTCGCTGCGCAGGAGACAATCTCATTCCGGGCATGCATCGTGCAGTATTTCTTCTTCGTGACCCTTTTGACCACGGAGGGCTTTCTGCTGGCCGCCATGGCTTATGACCGCTATGTGGCCATCGCCAACCCTCTACTCTACACGGTGGCCATGACGAGGACCGTGTGCGTGGTGCTGGTGTTCGGATCCTGCGTCGGAGGTGTCATCAACTCATTGACACACACCATCGGCCTGCTGAACCTGTCCTTCTGCGGGCCCAAGGTCATCAGTCACTTCTTCTGTGACCTTCCCCCTCTGCTGAAGCTGTCGTGTTCTGACACCTCTATGAATGAACTGCTGCTTTTAGTCTTCTCTGGCATCATCGCCATGATTACATTCTTGACGGTTATGGTGTCCTACGTGTTCATCGTGGCTGCCATCCTGAAGATCCGCTCGGCAGCAGGCAGACACAAAGCCTTCTCCACCTGTGCCTCTCACCTGACCGCTGTGACTTTGTTCTACGGCTCCATAAGTTTCAGTTACATCCAGCCGAGCTCCCAATATTCCCTAGAACAAGAGAAGGTAGTCTCGGTGTTTTATACCCTGGTGATCCCCATGTTGAATCCCTTGATTTACAGCTTCAGGAACAAGGAGGTGAAGGAGGCTGTGAAGAGAGCGGTGGAGCTGAAACCTTTTCGTTGTTAATTACACACTATACATCTCCAATGAAATGATCTAACAAAAACAAAACCAGTGCTTTGCGAGATATGATGACTTTTTTAAGTTAAATAAAGTTGTATTCAAAATAAAGCTGTGGTCTATTTGGCTGGAGTCCTGTGGGTTACAATGGTAAAATCATAGCTACAGTAATCGTACATCATAGCAAAAATGGAGGAGAAATGTGCTAACTAGCCTAAAACCTGGATGGAGATATAGCCCATCATCCTAGACATTTGACTGCTCCTTCCTTTCATGAGTAGACATGAACATAAAGATGTATGGATTTATTATATAGAGATAAACAAAGAATTATATATCCCCAGTAGAGACAAAGGACAGAATAATAAAATATCTCTTAGCTGGTTTCCTTGGTTGAATATAGAAAGAAATTGGGGGCGGGGAGGAATGGGAAGGGATGGGAAGGGAAATAAAGGAGGAGGCAACAATGCTTGATAAGAAATGTACTCATTACTTTGCCTATGTAATTGTAACCCATCTGTACGGTCTTTTCACAAGAAAAAATAAAAAAGGTAAAAATACTTTTAAGTCATAAAAAATACTGATACTTATGCTACCAAGAAAATTCAGAGACACATTTTCCAGAAGTTTGCCTTGGTTGTTTATGGGCTGATATTCCCTAAAATAAAGGTACAGGCTGGGGAGTTAGCCTAGCCGTAGCATTCTTGCCTCCTGTCAACCAAGTCATGGGTATGATCATAAATACTGGAACTTAAAATAAATATACACAATTTGAAACATTAAAGAATCTGGTCCTAGATTATCTTCCCACTCAGAGTTTATTCTAACACTTTCTCCGCTGTTGCTCCCAGCTTTCACTCACACATATGAAGTGATACCAGAAAGAGAGCACCCACTTTGTCAGTATTCTATATAGGAAAACCACGAAAGCCTAGAAAAGTTTGTTCTGAAGAATTTTCTTTACTATTTAGAATGAGTAAATCCATGAACCCTAGGGCCTCATTAGAAACTATAGCTGATTCTCATTTTAAGTATCTTCCAACATTCTTTAAACATTATTTTGTGTTTATTATTTATTTGTCACTTAAAACTAAAGAGAAAGGCTGAACAATTTCCAAAGAAAACATCTAGTGTACAAACCATGATTGTTTTTCATTATTGAAGATAAGTCAGCTTTCTCCTGGGATTGGCTTAGCAACAGTTCAACTGAAGAACAACATTATCTACAGACATTAGCCAAAAAAATCTCTGCAATGTATTGTAGCAAAGGGAAGCCTGCGAGTCCATTTGTGTTTTTTCTTATTCAAATCATAGATACAAGTGTACCTTCACAATATCAACCCTGAAATACTGATTTTATATAATCTATCACCAATTTTTAATACCACTGAACATAAAATCCAAGGGGCATGTATGGAAATATATATAGGCAATAAAAATGATATGAGAAGAATAAACTCCACTTCTTATAAATTCTGCATAATATACAGTCTCTAAAAGGTCGGTTTGACCTCCCATGATGCAAACAAAACAATATAATTCCAAAATATGCATGTGTAAAAGGAGGCAATACATCAGAGGAGACATGATATTTTAGGCGATACCAGCCTTCAACTCATTCTATCAACTAGTTACAAGATAATTGAATCAATAACTAGAAAAATATACCTTTCCTTAAAAAATTACTTTCTTAGAAGTCTGAAGAAAATTGAGTCTGGTAACTCTTCAATAAGGCAGTACGATAAAATAAATGATATAGCTTCATATATGTATATATAGTCACATATTGATATAAAGTGTCACATATATTCAATGGTGATATTCTAAATGATCTTTGTTCTAATATAGGCTTATCGTGAACATAAACTGAGCCAAATATATTCAAACTGATTTACTATAGTTGAATTAATCAGTAGTAAATAAATAAGAATTCCATTGATAAAATACCTGTTGCTATCTCATCTGTGGACATATGAAATTATTAAGAAAAATGACCTGAGGATATATACTTGTTGCTCCAATCTCAAACTGATTATTGCTTAGGATCATTGTTTCTCTAACAAAACTTGCCCAAGGTTTATTTGTGAACTTTACTTCAGTTTCTGAAGGAATGGTTATTACATATGTGGTACTGTTTTATTCTACGCACATAGATTTGCAATTTGTGATTTGGGGACTGGTATAATTCATTGAGGAAATGACTCCCTGGTATCACCAGTTATGGCTGCATTTTGTATATAGTCATGAAACACACATATACTACATGTGTTGTATTTGCACAGGTACCCAGAGCCTAATGCAATAAATTCATGGTCTAACCACAGAGAAATGTCTTGCTGGCCCTGCCTGGAGAAGTTAAGGCTGCATTTATATCTTAGTCACATGTGTTTTTACTTGCACAGTTATGTATGAGCGCCTGCCATGAATTCATGGCATAACTCGGGGAAGTGAGTGACTCACTGGCACCATTGGATTGGTCATAGCTACATTTGTGTCTTGTATGTTGGTGTTTTACTTCTATAAGGGTCAATGCTAGGAACTCATAAACCTTTGATTTAAGGTTTGGTTTTGCTCTATGAGTAGCCAGTGATGGCATGATGCCAGCAAAAACATAATGGGGATTGTCAGTTGTCCTGAGTGAAATGTGGCCTGTATATAACTGCCATTCCAAATAATCATGCAAAAATCAAACAACCATCCTATCCAAACCCTTATGTATTACTAAAGACTCTGACTAAATTAAATAATGATAACAATTTTTTCAGTTTGAAAAGAGTGACTTAAAGCAGACATGGCGTTTTAGTTATGTCTTATAAGGTCTGAGTTCATATGTTCTTATTCTTCAGTCTTTAACTTCTCAAATGTTTGTTTTTGCTTCAATACCCTCATAATTCTCCTGGTTTTCATGTAAACCTTGAGCAAGTTCTATAGTGGCCCAGCATCCTTTATATCATGACTCAGGTAAATCCGAATTTTTCAGTAAATAAAACTAAATAATGATTAAAGATAATGGTTACTAAGTGCTTGGTACATATTAGGCCCATAAAAATACAAACAGTCCCTCTTGATATTAGTGGTCCAGAGAAAAAGCAATAATTATTTTAGCAAAACGGACAGTACCTTATGTTATTAGTGTTTTCACTTTATTTCATGTTAAAGTCACTCCGAATTTTGCTTGTTGTTTTGGTAGCATATGATTAATATTATTCTTCTTGTAATTATTTATCTTATTATTTTAATTTTGTATAACATTTAACCCACCAACTTACCCTGAATTTGCTATTTTTATATTTTATTCTGTTTTTCCATTTCCTGTTTACTCATCATTTTATAAATTGCTTTCATATTCATCCAATATAATAAAAAAATGTTGAACTTCATCTTAATACACCACTTGGATGAATTGTCACTAATATAAAAAAACCTGATGGGTGAAAGTACATTTGAGTATATGCTTATGTACACACAACACACACACACACACACACACACACACACACAGAAACATGAAATCCTATTTAGAAATTGCTTTTGCTATATTGGATTCTTTCACTTTGAAACAAAAATATATTTTCTAGTTTTAAAACTACCACTACTAATATATTTATGCAATCACAGTCTCACCAATGAATAAAACTTAAAAATTGAATTTAATAAATTTTATGGATAATAGATGCATATAATTGATAGAAATTATTATTTAAGCACAGTTCTTAAGAGTTTAGTTTTCCTTTGCATCAACATGAAATAGTCAAGTCAATTGTTCTCTAAAGCTAAGGAAAGGCTCAATATACAAATTGCTACAATTTTGGAAGAGTGCAAGGGACTTAATTTCCTCAGAGCTATCTAAGTGCTTTAACGAAACCTAGGGTTCACAAAGCCCTGGGGATTTCATCCTCCAATGATCAGAAAACAAATATAAACCCAACCTTGAGGGAACTAAGAGGAAAGGACCACAGTTTCTTCTCTAGTCCAGGTAAGCGCCCTACTAATGTGTTCTAAAAAAGGATTTATCAATATTTTCTTTGATTTTTCTAAAGGAAAAATTAGATTCAAACATTGAATCTAATGTGAGGAGAAATCTGCTTTAAATACATTCTGATTATGAAAATATCTCATTTACACCACCATTGGCATTTCTTAGAAGAGTGTGGATTTATTCCACAGTTCCTCAAGTAGCTACATTTAATGAGTCTTAGTTTTGTTTGTTGAAAGTTGCAAAGGAGAATTTGTTTAAAATCCTAAAACCTAAGATGGATTGATGTCAACTGTTGAATTTTGCTAACTCTGAGGCAAATAGCAAGGATTTTTTGGAATTATTGTTATCAAAACTATTTTTAGACTCAAATATTAATTTATTACATCACAGCTGATTTTATAAAGAAAGAAAACTGCCTTTGGAAGGCAGTCCTAACACTAAAGAAACAACTATGAAATTATAGAAATTAAAAGAAACACAGTCACATGTAACACAATTGTTTTGTTTCCAAAAGCAGGTCAAACAGTGTGTATTATCTGAGGACAATTAAATAAAACTGATGAAATATAAATGTTGGCTTAATCAAAAAGCCATTTTAGAAATGTGTCAACAGATCATCTCCATTTTCTTTATTTGTTTTAAGTAGGCAATGACTGGCTTAGGTATATTCTTGCATTGTAGATGACAGTTTGTATGTATTTTCTTATGTAATCCTCACAACTGTATGTGGAAGGTTTTCAGAGGAATGTAATGGTTGGGCCAATTGTTTGGCTGAGAGATTACTCCAGTAAAAAATTATTGTTTTAAAATCCTTACCATTTCAGTAAAACAGACACAAATGAAAAGATCACATAGGGGTGTTCACAGTATTTGCATTATTAAATGGCTACCATATTAATATTACACAGCAATGATCTCGACTCATATCTTCATCACTTTCAAACATTACAAAATATTATCAAATGATTTGGGGGTTATTGATTACAAAATAAATAAAATATTCAGTATTTAGGGGAAAGTGAGTTTG